AAGATGTTCAGCCCGCAGCTGTTCCTTTTACTAAAACGGACTCCGTGCTCAAGCTTTTTTAAATACAATTGATGTCTTAAATAATAATGACTTTTCTGAAGCTTGGCTCATCCTGTAATAACCTGTTATTACTGTTTTGTCAGTTAATACTTGTTCATTTGTAAGAAACTGCTGTAAAGGTTGTCACTACCTGAACTAATTGATTGATGATGAAATAATATGTTTCAGTGCTGCTCTGTTCTACTGACAAGGGCAGTGGTGTAACCATTTCACATTTTTTTAATAAAACAATGTACGTCTTGAGCCTATGAAACCCCTCTGGATAATATTTGCTGCCCAGAGCAATAGTAAATCTGGGTGGTGGGTGTCTAATTTGAGCTACAGTCTCTACATTCTGCTAATTATTTTGCGTAAAAGCCTACAAGAGGTGATAAATTGAAGTTATTGTTCTCCATAGTGTGCCTTTCGCACCTGCCCCATCCCCCTGCACAGGTGCTCCAAAGGTGCTGAACATGCCTGAAGCAGAGTTTTCTGCTTTTATACAATTTGGTCTCACAGCTCAACACAGTAAAGCCTAACCCTGTCAGCATGTGTTTCGTTCTTTTAGCTTCTTTTTTTCTATTCTTCTTTTCATTCTATCAAACAGTGGGAACCAGTTTAGTCAAATGCTATACTATATTCTTCATCTGCAAGCACAGTCATATGCAGATACAGTACATTTACACCTTACCAAGCATATAAAAAGGCATCTTAGATCCTAGTTTCAGTTTCATCCAGGTTATGTAATGACTCAAACACGCAGTTACAGACCTTTGGAGAGTGTGTCCAAAGGCTGAGGGCAAGGTCTCAACTCAACACTTGGGTGGTCCATTCATCCATTCCAGCACTGTGCTTTCTTATGTAGCAGCAACACCACAGTGACGTGTTGTGGTTCTGGCCAGCTCTCTCACTGCCCACATACAGCAAAGAGCCACTTCACTTTCCCATCTCTGATGACGGAAATGGAATACGCCTGGATCGTTTCATCCAGCAAGAGAGCGAGAAACGAAAGAAATGCAGCGCTGGGATGTCATTCTTGTGCATGCAGCTGCCCTCTTAAAAAACGTGGCTGAGCTTTCGGCTCAGCTTCAATTTTATCGCATTTCAGTGCCCAGACAGCTGTCAAACGAATGACATGTTTTACATCCACCACAATTTGTGCATTTTCATCAGCCTAAAATAGCTCAAAAAGCCCCTATTTTTTTATAGGCGGTTTCATATCTGGCATCTTCTTTTCTTAGGGTTGATCCGATATTGCATCAGAATGATTGCCATGGGATTCCTATTAGGAGGGAGGAGGAAGAGAGAGACAAAAGGAGAGACATGAAGGATACAGTACAGAAAAGAGAAATGGAGAAGGATGGTAAAGAGATATAGAGAGAGAGAGTGAGCGAGAGGGAGGAGAAGATTTGTAAGGAGGAGGGAGGGCCGAGGGCCAGCGGAGTCAGAGATAAGAGGCTGCGAGAGTGATTGAAATAGGATTAGTGGAGACAGGCTCTGCATCCCGGCCACAGCATCACAGTGTTAAACCTGCGCTTCACAGGGACTGCCTCTGTCACATCAAAGCCTCCCCAGGCCTGCCTGGCAGAGAGGCGAAGGAGCCGCCAGCAGGGTCGTCCACAGCCACACACACACACACACACACACACACAAACACACATCACATACATGAACATGCTAATCACATTCTTCATCCGTCTCCAATATGTCTCCATTATGGGCACAAAGCTGGCTCCTTCCACCTTGCCTTTTCATCTCGCTGCAGTGTCTTTGTGGTGTGTATTTGGACCACGGAAAGGGTGCATTGATGAGCCATCTTTAACATTTAATGAGGCAAGCAGTGATGAGTTGGCATTGGAAAGCTACTGTCTCCTGCTTCCCCAGAGTCCAAACAAAGTTTTAATGAGAACTTTCCCCCAATTTGTGCCAAAAGCACTGAGCTTTTTAACTGCTTCCCAGACTGAAAGCATACAAATTTTTTCACTTAAGTACTGAAGCAGGTCGAACACCTGTGTGCAAATAAACAGATATAGATATACAGGTATACAGGAACAATCATACTAGCTTGCTCAGTGGCTTGCATGTAGAGCTGTGCAATAAATCAATATAAAATCAATACTGTGAGATAAGATTGAATATAATCTCTGATTTGGTTCAGTCTTATTATTGACATATGTCAAAGTCTTTTCCAGGTCTTTAATTCACGTCTGGTTATTTTATCGATAAATAGTTTCCCAAAAAAATCTTAATATAGGTCTCTATTGTGCTACAAAATTGCATATGCAATGATTAGAAATTATACCAATATCTCTAATTCTTACTTGTACATCCTGCTCCAGTTCGTTTCTCAACAAAAACTGAAATACTGCAGTTGCTAACCCAGCTCTGCATGTTCTCTAATCAAATGAACACTCACTGTTCCATGTTCATCTTGTGTACTTATGCTTGAGAGTGTCTCGGTGTGATCAAACATTTGCACGTTAGTTCTGTTCTGTTGCAGTAGATTATGGATCCCTATAGCTAAAATGGCCTGTTTATCTGCAGAAGAGAGACAATCCACTGATTGGTGAGTGCTGTCTCTGTGTGTGTATTTGTATGTGTGTGTGTGTGTTTGACACTGTGTGTACTCATACGCTATCTGTATTTGTGTGTGTGAGCTGGTAGTTTTCCTCTCGGAGCTCATCAGTTCATATCCACCACCCACCCCACCGCAGCATGCAGTAAATAGAGTCTCCGCCACTCGTTGAGAAATGGCACAATTATCCCCTGCTGGTGAAATATGGGCCGGGATGCACCACTGCTTCTTCCCTACAGAATGTGTGTGTGTGTGTG